TTCTTGGTGTCATTAATATTTCCATTCCACAGATAAAGAAACTGGGGCCTAGAGGTTAACTCTGTTGTCTGGGACCACACAGCGTACCAGCAACCAAGGCCACACATGTCAACTCCACAGCAGACACTGCATTCCTCAGGCTGCCCACACTGCCCCACCCAGGGCTGCCACTTCTGAGAAGGGCGTCTAAAACGTGCAGCTGCCTAAATTTGGAGAGAATAAATAGGTGCAAGCAGTTGGGTCCTCCCATCATCCAAGACTGAGTGGCACCCTCCCCCCCACCTTGTGAAGGTTTGAAGGAGTGTCACATCTGTTTCACAGACTAGGGGACTTTAGGGCTCTTCCAAGTCTGGGCTCCTGAAAGGCCCTGGATCCCACAGTCCCAAATAAGCCTCTACCCCTGTGGGCTGGGTCAGCCTGCTCCCCAGGCTCTAAGGGGGACTTGTAGCCTTGCTTTTGGACACACAGCCGCAGGACATGGGACAAAGCAAGGCAGGAGCTGAGAGTGGAGGGGGACTGAGAAAAGGGAGGTCATCTATGTAGTGAGAAATGGAGAGAAAGAAAGCATGTGGTAGAGGCGGGAAGCATGGGGGCTTGGAGAGAGGGAAAGCCCCATGGAGAGAGGGAAAGCCCTGTGGAGAGAGGGAAAGCCCTGTGAGACGAGAAGGCTGAGAATTAGGAGGCGAAGCCCAGTGTTTCCAGAGAGGCACTGAAGGGCTGGCCTTGATGCTGCTATTGCTCCTGGTCACTCACACCTCGGTGACAGGAGCTCCTTGCAGAGGCTGGGCCTGGGGCTGAGGATTCGCAAGGCTTGTATTAACTGCTCAGCCTTTACCCTTCCAAGCACTGATTCCATGGTCTATGGCCCTACATTTTGGGGCAGGGTGGAGTTCTGAAACGGAGCATTCGTGAGTTCTTGGCTCTAGGACTTCATGATTTCATTTGTGGGACTCTTTGAGGGCAAAGGTGGGCATGTGTTCATGTGTGTGTGAGCATGTACATGTTTGTTTGGATGCCAACTCTAGATACACTCCCCAAGAGCTGCCCACCTTGTTTTCTGAGGCAAGGTCTCTCACTGGGTGGGACCTGGAGCTCAAAGATTAGGTTAGATTGGCTGGCCAGTGAGCTCCACCGATAAGCCAGTCTCTAGCTCCCCAGCACACACCACCATGCCTAGATTATGTAGCTCTGGCTGGTCTGGCCTGGAATTCGCTATGTAAACCAGTCTGGCTTCAGAATCAGAGATCCACCTACCTCCAACTCCCAAATACTGGGATTAAAGTATATGCCAGGCCGGAGAGATGTCTCGGTGATTAAGAGCATGGGCTGCTCTTCCAGAGGTCCTGAGTTCAATTCCCAGCACCCACATGGTGGCTCACAACCATCTGTAATGGGATCTGGTGCCCTCCTCTGGCCTGCAGGCACACGTGCAGACAGAGCACGTATACATAACAAATATGTATGTACATAAATAAAGCGTGTGCCACCGTACTCATCCTTTAGGGCGTTGTGTTTTTTAATAAACATGTCCCCATGCTTTCATGGCTGGCGCGTTACTGACTCAGCCATCTCCCCGGCCTTCTGGAACTTTGTCTCCTCCATTCCACGACACTGAATGTGGCTCTGTCCCAAGAAAACCCCTAGGGGCCTCAAGGCACGGGGCAGAGGTGGGTACAGACTATCTTGGCAGCCAGATGCCCCTCGGCTGCCTTCTAGTGTTAAAGGACAGTGACTGTCTGGACGCTGGGAGGGTACAATGAAGGACTCCAGGGGCCAGAAGCAAGCGGCAGGGCACGGGCATCGGGCCAAACCAGACTGCAAACCCACAGGTTTCCTAAGGACTCAATTCAGGGTGCTGGGGCACTGCCCAGGGATTCTCTCAGGCCCCACCTACCCACCCACCCCGGCCTGGGTCCACAGTCTCCAGCATCCAAGTATAGGAGAAATTTTTAATTTGTAAGCACAGTCTTTGGAGGGAGGTGGGTCCTTCTTTGAAAGCTCATTTGTTTGTGGAGCCCAGAGATGTATTGGGGTCACCAGGTTCGGGAGGGTGAGCAGGAGGAGAGCAGGGGAGTGGCTATGCATATTAAAGGAATCAGGGTTTCCCCTGGGGAGGAGCAGGGAGGAAATGTAGGGTTATTCACCACTAGGGTCTTTTGAAAGAGTGCCAGGAAGCTTGCATCCAGACCTGAGTGCACCACCAGAACCAGGAGAGAAACTGAGGGCAGCAGGTGCCCTTCAGTAAGGCTCAGAGCCCATCTCTTATACCTCCCCTCCCCTCCCCCTACCTGAGACTCTGTACCGCAGGTGTCAAAGCGGGCTTGGATCCGGAAGTTGCTACCAACTTCCTGGGCTGCACAGCTCCGGCTGCCCAGGTAGACCCTCGTCCGCTCCAGTGGGGCCAGCGCCTGGGCAGAGATCAGGATCTGGAAGTCCGTTCGGGAACAGCTCACATTCATGGGTACCACTGGAAGAGGAGGGAGGAGCCTGAGGCCTTAGGGCTGCAGTCACACCCATCATCCCTAAGCCTTCCTGAAGGACAGCAGCCATGGAACAGAAGCCCAAGGGAGGGAAGGTACTTAGGACATCCTACGGGACCGAGTTGGGATATTTACGGTGCTCCACCACGCCACTGGGTCTGTGAGTTCTGAGGGCACGTGGTGTGCTGGTGTCTCTGAGTCCTCTGAGGCCAGCATAGAGCTTGGCAGACCAAGGAAATGCTGAATGAATGAATGAATGAATGAATGAATGAATGAATGAATGAATGAGCCTGCGAGTGAGTGGAGACTAATTCTTCAACCACATTAAAAGTAATTGCTCATCACAGCCAGATACCCAGCAGTCCATCCCATCATTCAGTTAATGCATCACTGACGGCCTCCTCTACAGTGCAGTACACACAGACGCGACGTGGAAAAGCCAGCCACGCCACTGCTTGTGCAGGTCAGTGGATGTGGGAGGCACACAGGAGTGCCCCGCAGGACAGTCAAGCAAAGGCAGAGGAGGGGGCGGCTCTGAAGAAGGCCGGGGAGGGGAACCTTGTTGTCCCACCCCATGGTGGCCCGAGATGTTGGGCACATCTCAAACCACTTCAGTTTGGGAAACGAATCTCTGAGAGGCGAAGCTGCGTGTTGTGGCTGACTTGGGGGGACAGGATTCCCCAGTTCACAGTCTGTCCATTGCTATCTACCAGCTCCCAGCATGCTCTGGGCTGTGAGAGAGTGTGCTTCTCAGTGTCTGGGACTTCAGGGGCAAGGGTGCATGCAGGGGTGTGTGCAGGGAAGAGGCAGGTGGGGGGTTGGTGGCTGGCTGGAAGAAAAAGGAGACCTGGCAGGCAGAGGCCTGGATCCCTCAGCCCTCTCTGGGAAATGTCTCAGACATATTTCAACCTCGGGTGTCTGGGCAGGCGGGGATTTATGGGTCCGCTGTCTCCCACGATGATCTCGGTGGCGCTGAACTGTGTGTCACCCCTGATTGATGCCGAGGCTGCCCTCCCTGTGGAGAGGCTGCCTACTGCCTGGGCCCCATCTGGTACTGGTCCAGTGTGAGTACCCTGTCTGACCCCAGGCTCCCACAGGGGCCTGTGTGGGGAGCACAGAAGGCCCTGAACGGGAGCCAGGATGACAGTTGCCCTCCCCTCCCTCCTCTCCAGAGATACTGCAGGAAGAGGCGGTCGATCACTCAGCCCCGCCCAGGCTGGGCCTGAGAGGCAGGCTCTCAGAGGCAAGCCGGAACCCACCGGAAGACCCTTCAATCCAGGTCCCTGCTGTGCAGGCGGGACAACCAGGATCTGGGGACCAGAAGTGATGCTCCAGGTCACGGGACCAAACCTGGGAGGTACCTGGTCTCACAGTATTCTCCTTGTCCATGAAGGATCGGAGGAGACAGTGCCAAGGGTCACAGCTGCCCTTCCCACAGGGACGGGCCCTGTCTAGGCCTAGAAGGGAAGGGTGGCTTTGTGCAAGTCTCTCTGTGCCACCAGCTTGCAGCAGCTGTTTCCTGCCCCACAGCCAGGGCCCCCCAGCTCCTCTGCTGCTGAGGAGGAAAGAGGATCCTCTCACTGCTGAACAGGCCTGGGCAAGTGAGGGAAAGATGTCCTCAGAGCCAGACTTCCCTGCAGCCCTCACTCTGCTCCTGACTCGGGGACTCACTGGTCCTGTACGACTGATCCCCAGTACAGAAGTTGGAAAAGCCTCCATACCAGCTTCCCCAGCCACCTCTGCAGCAAAAGCATGGGCCACCTGACCGATTTGAAACCAAAGTGACCAAGACAAAGCATTGAGAGAGCTTTGAAAACGCTTTGGCAAGTCAGGCGGTGGTGGTGCACGTCTTTAGTCCCAGCACTCGGGAGGCAGAGGCAGAGGCAGGTGGAGCTCTGTGAGTTCAAGGCCAGCCTGGGCTACAGAGTGAGTTCCAGGACAGCCAGAGCAACACAGAGAAACCCTGTTTTGAAACCTGCCCCACCCCAAATGCTTTGGCTTTCTGGATAATGGGATTTTTGTGGCTGGCACCTCTCCTCTTCCAGCCGTGAATGTGGACACGATGCCTGAGTTTGGGGGCAGTCATGTTGCAAACACAAGTGTGAGTATCTCTGAGGTACCATCAGGACATTCTGAGTCCCTGGACCCCCACAGTAGCTGCTGGCTAGCACACGGCTGGGTGAGGACACACACGTGCCTCCTGTCCAGTCAGCAGTTCTGAATGACACAGGCAGGTGGCATCTCAGTGGCATTTCACCTGACGCTTGCCATTGATAACTTGACATTTTGTGCATTAATCCTGGAAACCGGATCAAACATCTGAGAGACATCGAACCCACAAGAAAAGCAGCCAGGTGGGGAAGAATTAGGAATCAGGAGTCAGAAGCTATGAAAGGAGAGTCCTGTGGCAGTGGGGGCCACATCACAGTAGCTTCAAAGGTCCTCAGAGCAGGCCACTTCGTAGGGCCTGGAGGACACCGCAGAGGGGTGTGTCACAGTGAACAGGAAGAAGGCCACGGAGTTCCCCAGGACCCACACTCTCAACTCAACTGACCTCCAATGTAGGCCACAGAGAAGCCCCTGCCGGAGGTGCTGCGGTCAGTGTGCAGCAGAAGCAGGAGCTGGTTGTGACGTGAGGTGACAGGCGGTGGCAGGTGATGACCACACCACTTCCCCAGGAGCTGTGCCTCCTCACTGGCCCCATCAAAGGCCGCCAGGTGGTCAAAGTCGCAGGTTCTGGTCAGGCTGTTGGGTTCCTCCAAGCCCAGGTCCAAGATGAAGACCTTGACCCGGTAGCCGGGGGGCAGGCGGATGGTCCAGTGGCACCGGATGTTGTTGGGGTAGGAGCCAGGGTACTGTGGGCTGGAGAAGTTTCCACGCACAGCCGTGAATACCTCCTGGCATTCTCCTGGGGAGGAGGAAGCAAGAGTCACCCACACACAGTCAATGACAGATAACTAAAGTCTGAGTCTGCGGCCTGAGGCGCCACTGGGAGGTGGTGGAACCCTCAGGAGGTGGGTGGGGCCTATGGAAGAAGGTTGGCTCACTGCCAGGAGGCCCTCAAAATGGGCGCTGGGCCCCGGTCCCCTCCTTTTTCTGGCTCTGCTTCCTGGCTGTCACGAGGAAGCAGCCCTTGTTCCACACTTTGCTCCCTGCCGTGATGGCCTGCCTCACCACGGGCCCCAAAACCACAGCTGACAGTCCTTGGACCTCTGAAAGTGTGGGGCACGGTGCTCACGTATCTGTGCTCACATTCCCGTGTCTACCTCAGGTACAGAAAGCCAGCATCCTGTCAACACACCAGCCCTGTGCTCGGTACTGCCAGCCACCAGCCCCCTGCGCCTCTGCACACACTGTCCATGCCCCTGGGCGGACTTCGTCAAGGCGCTGCTCAATTCCTCCTCCAGGAAGTCCCCTGTGATTCCACCTGTTAGCACTCATGACAGTGGCTCCTCACTGTGGGCTGTGGACTCTCGGAAGCACATCCATCCTTCCTTCTGTGCACACGTTACGTGAGCGTGCAGCCCACGCCAGGCACATGTACAAGGAGCAGCTAGCTCACCCTCAGGCAGGGAAATGGACAAACTCGAGAGGAGGTAGATAAGAGTATGAAGGAATTGGTCCTCACCCTTCCTAATGCTGTGACCCTTTAATATAGTTCCTCATGTTGTGGTGACCGGTGACCCCCAACCACAAAATAATTTTCATGGCTACTTAATAACTGTAATGTTGCTACTGTTATGAATCATAGTGTAAACAACTGATATGCAGGATCCCCGTGAAAGGGTTGTTCAACCCCAGTGGGGGTCCAGGCCCACACGTTGAGAACCACTGCTCTAAGGCGTTTAGAAGGGATTGATCCCATCTGAGCAAGGCAGAACGTCTTACAGAGAATGTGATAGGGTTAGTTAGGCCTTGGCGTTGGCCCAGAAGGGTGTGCTAGACCCTTCTAGACAGGGCAGAAAATCCAACCCCCAAGGACACAGCAAGCCTTAACTGAATTCCCAAACAAAGCAGTAGACAGGGGTCCGAGGGCGCAGGCGCTGGCATGGGCGTGGCCCCTCCTACCTGAGAAGTAGTGGGCCTTGAAGCCCCGGCCTCCAATGTTGAAGTCAGACTTGAAGATCACCTGCAACTCGTGGCCCAGGGACACAAGGGTGGGGGGTCTGGTGCGGCCGCAGTAGTGGTGCCCGTGGGCAGGGCCGGGGGCTCCGAGCACAGCCACGTAGTCGTACATGCATTCATGGCTGCCCTCCACCTGGAAGTCCACGAACACCAGCTTGACGGCGGCAGGCCCTGAGGCACGGATCAGCCAGTGGCACTCCACGTTGTTGGGGTAGTTGTTGGGGTACTCGGGGCTGCTGAGGACCCCCGACAGGCCAGTCAGGACACCGCCACACACGTCTGCAAGGGAGTCTGTTTGAGCTGATCTCTTCTCTGGGGAACCAGACACCCAAAACACTGCTCCACAAACACCCATGCCCGACAGGCACAGATCTGTACCCAGACCCGCATGGCACCCATTTTCTACAGTGAGAGGTCAAGGAACTTAATCTGTCTAGGCCCTGAGTTCACCCAGGTATAAAGACCTGAGTGCAAGGGGTTTATTTGAAGGTCAAGGATCTCCAGGTGGACATAAGGGGGTGAGAGGAGATGGCAAAGTGTCCTGAAGGGAGCTGCTGAACCCCACTAGGGAATTCTAGTAAAGCATACACCTGAGTCATGTCACTCCAGGAGGGAGGGGCTGGGGGTTCTAGACTATGTGGTGATTGGAAGGAGGATACCCTCAGTAGGCTCTCATATGTATATGAGTAGCAATATATATATAGGTTTTTCAAGACAGGCTTTCTCTGTGTAGCTTTGCGCCTTTCCTGGATCTCGCTCTGTAGACCAGGCTGGTCTCGAACTCACAAAGATCCGCCTGCCTCTGCAGGATTAAAGGCATGCCCCACCACCTCACGGCTTAGGCTCATATATTTGAATACTTTGTCCCCAGTTGGTGGAACTGTTGGGAAGGGTTAGGAGGTGTGGCCTTGTTGGAGGAGGAGTGTCACTTGGGGTGGGTTTTGAGATTTCAAAAGCCCATGCCATTCCCAGTTAGCTAACTCTGCCTTAAACTGGTCCACCCAGAGGTGAGCTCTCAGCTGCTGCTCCAGTGCCATGTGTGCCTGCCTGCTGCCATGTTCCCCACCGTGACGGTCATGGACTCTCACCCTCCGCAACTGTGAGCCCTAAATAAACAGCTTCTTTTATAAGTCGTCGTGGTCATGGTGTTTTGTCACAGCAACAGAAAAGTGTCCAGGAAAACTGGATGGAGAGAGTCCCAGGGGGAGACCACAGACACCAACAAAGCCCTCAAACAGGGACAGGAAGACTGTCAGGACAACACCAAAATGACAGAGGCCAAGAGGTATGGGCAGGTCACCCAGCCAGCAAGCAGAACTGGAGCCCAGAAGACTAGCTGCAGCTACGCGGCCAGGGCATGGCGGTGGGCAGCTAAGGGCTGGCTTCCTGTCCCAGGACTCCTCAGCTGTGTGATCTTAGGCAGTCACATTCCCTCTCTGGCCATCAGATTTACTGAGAAATGAGACGGTACGTGGAGATGGTCTGTGATAGCCCATCAATGAATATCAACAGCTGGAGCAGAAAGATGCTTCAGACTTCATTCTTATGCTGCATTTCCAACGTGCCCACGTGTGGTGTCTGTGTGTTTACATATGTGTGGACATTCACGCCCACGCGGGTATGTTATGTTTGGAGGTCAGAGGAGGACATCAGATGCCCTGATCCATCATTCTCTGCTCTGTCTCTCTGAGATAGAGTCTCTCTCTGAACCTGAAGCTTGCTAATTTTCAGCTAGGTTAAACAGATGGCCAACAAGCCCCCCACCAGGGTCACAGGTACACACGGCCATGCCTGGCATCTCATGCGGATGCTGGGGACCCAAAAGCCTCTCACTCACACAGCAATCTCCCCGGCACAGTTATCTTTTAGTATAATAAAAAACAGGACCCAAAGTTACATATCTTATACATAATTTAGCCAACGGAGTCCATCGATACCCACTGTTTGTCAGTGACTTCCTTCTCACAAGTCAATGCTGGAAATGTGAACTTGGGGCCAGGGCAATAGCTCGGACATTAAAGCGTTTGCTGAGCAAGCATGAGGGACCAAATTTTATCCCCAGCATTCCCATAAAAGTTGGACATGGTAGCTCCCACTTGTAATCTTAGGGCAGGGGAGGTGGAGGCAACGGCCACTCTAGCTTAATTGGAGAGCACCAGGTCTCAGTGAGGTGGCTCCTGAGGTTGATTTCCGGCTTACACACATGCACCCATGCACGCACCCATGCATGCAAACACATGCATATACACACGAATGTGAACTTGCGAAATGAATGCATATCATTAAAATGCTACCTTTATCTTTTTTAGATATCAAAGACTAACAAGACGGCACTGCCTGCCGTCAGCTATTCCTGTTTGTAAAAATGATGGAAAGCGTTGCCTGTGACGTCAGGACTTTGACGCCTTAATGTCCTAAACTCCCAGGCCGAGATCTCCGCGTGCTAATCACATCTGCCTCTTGTTCTTGTGTCTTAACCGCACAGTTCTGTGCTTCTAAATTCAGCCGGGGCCACCATCCTGCCTGAGTCCTACGGTGGCTGGAAGTGGACTTGTGGACGTGGGCATCTGTGGCTGTCCTGCTTGGGCTGACACAGAGGCATCTGATCTCATGCTGGGGAGAAAGGGGGGCTTTTGGGTCTCTACACAGGAGCTCAGAGGCAGGAGGGGGAGGCAGGTGAAGAGCAGGGCTGGGGCTCCTCCTCATGAGGCTGGGTGGCAGGTGACAGCCTGCTCGGAGGCCTCAGGCTTAGGGATGACTGGTAAAGAATGCACACAGGGAAAGGCCTAAGAGAGGAGCAACCACAGGTTCTGAAAGCTCCTGTCTCTGACACCCTGGGCCCAGGCAGGGGAAGGAGGCAGGAGCCACGGGACTTCAACAGCAGGAACATCCGTGAGCCTCCTGTGGCCTGATGTCGGCAGAGGAGGGCGCAGGCCTCCTCTCGGGGAACAGCAAGCTGCCCGGGGGGAGCCCGCAGTCATGGAGGAAGCAGAGAAACATCACAGAGGTAGCAGGCGGTGGTTCCCAGGGAGGTCACAAGTGTGAAGACGCCACCTCTGCCCCTGTAGGCGGTGCTGTGCTAAGACACTGCCTGCCTACTCACCTCCCGTGCCCTGTCCCCCCGACCCCCTGCAGCCCTCCTGCCCAGTGCCCCCTGACCTTTCTGGTAGCCTGCAGAAAAGCCACGGCTGGCCACATGCTTGTCCGAGTGGAAGACGACAGACATGACGTGCCAGGAGGAGGTGAAGGGTGGGGGGGGCACCTGGCCGCAGAACCTGCCCAGAAGATTGCCTTGGTCTCCGGAGGCCCCGTTGTAGATCTCTAGGAAGTCGAAGCCGCAGGTGTCGTGGTACTCCAGGTCGAAGGCGTGGAAGGTGAGGAGCACGGAGGACCCCTCGGCCACCACGATCAGCCAGCTGCACTCCGTGTTGTAGGGATACAGACTTGGGAAGTTTGGGCTGGAGAAGTTCCCAGACGGTGCCGAGAGCACACCCCCACACTTGACACCTGAGGCAGGAGAACAGGGTGGTGGAGAGTCAGCTCATCTGGGGCCTTGAGGGTGGAGAGAAAACAGGACAGAGTCCTAAATGGCTCTGGGTGTGCGCCTGAACTTTCTCAAGCGTTCACACTTCTCTCGGAGACTGGGGAAGCGTTCTTCTAGCCACTCAATAAATGTTGTTTGTACACTGGCCAGTGCTCTTAGATGCTGGGAGGATTGCAGGAATGAAGATCTTGCTCTCAGGGCACGCGTGTTCTGGTGGAAAGACAATAAACACAACCCTCCCGGGGAGCAGACGGGAGAGTGGTCAGCTCTGAGGAGAACAAGAAGCCAGGCCAGGCATGGTGGCACACGCCTCTAACCCCAGCATTAGGAGAGAAGAAGCAATCGGATCTCTTCTTGCTCAAGAACAGCCTGGTCTACATAGTGAGTTCCGGGCCAGCCAAGGCTACGTAGAGAGACCCTGTCTCAAAAATAAATAAATACACATTAAATAAATAAATAAATAAATAGAGCCAGGCGATGGTGGCACACACCTTTAATCCCAGCATTTAGGTGGCAGAGGCAGGTGGACCTCTGTGAGTTCGAGGCCAGCCTGGTCTACAAAGCGAGTTTCAAGATATCCAGGACTACACAGAGAAATTCTGTCTTGAAAAACCAAAACCAAACAAACAAATAAACAAACTAAAAAGGTAAATGAATAGAAAATAATAAATAATTTAAAAGGAAACAATGAAATTAAAAAACCAGAATTGGGCAACCTTTAATGGAATACGAGGCTAGAAGCATGTAATGTCTGTTCAGTCACCCAGGAAAAGGATGATAAAGGGAAAACCCAGGTCGGCCACACAGGTATTCTCTGTGAAGCTCACTCAACATTGCTAAGCTTTTAAAACAAACAAACAAAACGATAAGAGTAGCTTCAGACTGGCCTCAAACTTGTAATCCTGTTGCCTGAGGATCTCAAATGCTGAGATAACAGATGTGAGCCAGTGCGTCTGGTTCAAAAGTTTGAAAAACATAAAAAGACACAACCTAGTATCACACCTATACTATAGCACACACCTATAAGGGAGGTACTCTGGGGGCTGAGGCAAGAGGATTGTAAGTTTTAGGCAAGCCTGGGCTACACAGCAAGACCATGATTCAAAATAGTAATAACAACCAACATCACCACTACAGCAGCAGCAACAGAGTTGACAGAGGCAGGAGAGAGACTGGGAGGGTGGGCGTGGAGTAATCAGGCTGCATCATACATGTGTATGAAAATGCTCAGGAACAAATTTAATAAATAAGAACAAGCCAAGAGGGAACTTTATATAGTAGAATGCTATGCAACTTGAAATGCATACACATCATCACTCACCGATTCTACTTCTTTTTGTTTTTTAAGGTAAGGGCTTAGCTATATAGCCCAGGCTAGCCTTGAATTGCAAATTTCTTGCCTCAGCCTTCCAGGTGCTAGGATGAAAAGTGTGTGTGTGTGTGTGTGTGTGTGTGTGTGTGTGTGTGTGTGTGTACTCCTGGACTCAGGCGATCCTCCTGCCCAGCCTCCCCAGTGTCTAGGACTATACTCACTAGGAGACCCGTAGACAAGCACACTTACTTGGACCCTCTTGCATGGGCTCCTGAGTTTAGGACTACAAGCACGTAGCACTGTACACAGCTAAAGGAACCTTTGGGGGCAGGGGTTTTCTGTGCACATGTGTGCACGTGGAGGCCAGAGCTTAACTTCAGATGTCCCTCAGAGGCTATCCATCTTGTGTTTTGAGACAAATGTTCTTATTGGCCTGGGGCTCACCAAGTAGGGTAGGCTGCCTGGCCGGTGGCCCAGGGATCTGCTTGTTCCCACGTTCCCAGCCCTGGGGTGACGAACATGTGGCATTATTCCATAGCTTCTGGATCTTGAACTCACTCAGGTCCTCTTGCTGGCATGGCAAGTACTTGACCACCTGAGCTATGGCTCCAGCTTCTAGAAGAACACTCTTTCGTGAAATCAAAAAGTTGTTTTTGAGGCTGGAGAGGCGGCCCAGGGATGAAGAGCACGAGCTGCTCTTGCAGAGGCCCTGGGTTTGATTCCCAGCCCCCACACGGCAGCTTATGACTGTAACTCCAGTTCCAGGGGCCCTGATGTCCTCCTCTGGCCTCCACAGGCCTGCAAGGGGGGCACAGACAACATAGGGGCAAAATACTCACGCGCACAAAATAAAAACAAGTAAATCTTCAAAATACAGGCTTTTATTTAGTACTCTGTGTTCGCACATGTGTGTGCATCATGAGGATGGGGAAATGCCATAGCACGCATGTAGGAACTCAGGACAACTTTACAGGGGTCAAACTCGGGTCACCAGACTCTTGAGACAAATGTTTTCACCTGCGGAGCCACCTCACTGGCCCGACAGAGGGATATTCTTTTTTTTTTAGATTTATTTTTGTTTTAAATTACGTGCATTCATGTGTGTCCGTATGGGAGTGTGTGATGAGCGCACGTGCCCATGGGGGCCAGAGGTGTCAGATCCCCTGGGACGACAGTCACAAGTTGTGAGCCATCTGATGCCATGGGTGCTGGGAACAGAACTGGACTCCCCTGGAAGAGCAGCCAGTGCTCTGAAGTGCTGACTGAGCCTTCTTGCCAGCCCCAGGAACGTTCTTAATCAAACCACGAGGCTCCTCCATTTGGCCAAGCCCAGGATGGAGAACTTCCTCCTCCCAGTACTTCAACAATAAATGGCAAGGGGCACAGCTGGATTAGGAATCAAACATACTGCATGGCTCTTTCTCAGGTTTTTATTTGTGTTATTGACTTCATTTTGCAGATGAGAAGACTAAGCCCCGGGAGGGGAAATTACCGTAGCGGTCATCTTTGGCTCAGCACCCTCTCTTCTAACTTGGACCCCAGGCTGCCTGTTTCAGACATTGCCTCGGCTCCTCGTGGTAATCCTGACCTGTGGGGAGGGTAAGTGTTCCCGGCCAGGACCAAGCTCTTCTCAGAATGTCTGGGGGGG